ACACCAGTTAGTACTTCGATTTCCAGGTAAAGGGAAAAGGCTCATTATCTGCCATATTGGCAGTGAGGATGGATTTGTTGTTGACGGTCTGTGGTGCTTTGAGTCTAAGAAAACTGGAGATTACCACGAGGAAATGAATGGCGAATCGTTTGAACAGTGGTTTTCAAAAATTTTACCGAACTTAGAGGAAAACGCAGTAATTGTGTTTATCATTCTCGAAGAATGGAGAAGGTCCCAACAACGGTTTCAAGGAAAGTTGATGTTCAAAATTGGCTCCGCTCGAAAAATATCAACTTTGAAGAAGCAATGCTGAAAGTACAATTATTAACAATTGTCAAGGATCACAAGGCGGAATATCAAAAATACGCCATTGACGAAATGGCAGCAAGTCAAAATAAAACTGTGCTCCGTTTACCTCCATACCATTGCGAGCTCAATCCCATTGAGCTCATATGGGCAGATGTTAAAAATTATATAGCTAAGCACAATACAACTTTTAAATTTTGTGACCTCAAAGGACTTTTCAAAGAAGCACTAGAATTAATAACAGCGCAAAAATGGGAAAACTGTATTAAGCACGTGAAAGACAAAGTTGAAAAGAGAATGTGGGAACTGGACAATATTTTAGAGGAACAAGTCGAGCCATTCATTATTGACGTTGGTGCTTCAGGCAGTAGCGATGATGAAAGCTCATCAAGCTCATCTTTCCAATAAAAGATGTCGTTCATCAAATTCGGTAAGTTATAAGTAATTATAAAGCTACTGTATTTTTTAATTAATTATTGACATTTTTGAACCCATTTTGGCAAAACCTATTCAAGAATCTACTTTCTGACAATGTTCAACCATGCACATTTTTTTACGTTTTGAACGTTTTAATTTGGTTACATATTTACCTAGAAATCAAAAAATATACTAATCAATATTCTAAAAGCAATTTTAAGAGATATACGATTATTTTTAATTTAGGCTAATTTAAACGCCATTTTGAGATTATATTCGACTGTATTTCACCAAACATCAGGCGGCATCCGAAGCTGGAAATCGAAGCGAAAATTTTGAAACCCTTATGTATATTTACATCATTATATATTTCTTACCCCACCTCCACATGATCCTATATCCATCACCAATCGTATACACATCGAATTGTGCTAATTTACTACAAAGCAGCATCTACTATCTAAAATATGTACTGCGTGACTCTTAATACGTCCCTGCCGAATGTTACAGCGTTCGATGATCACGTGGTCTTGTTTATGTCCGGTCTATCTCTTATCTGAATATACTGTAGGTTCATTAGTTTTTTCAACATGAAAATCAATTTGGATTTCAAAAAAATAAATCAACTTGTTGACTTCAAAAATTCATAAACTGTTAGAGCAAGATAAATATACATGATGCATATTTATATGCATATAAACTTTATACACTGCAGGAATTATAGGAAACGCTCAAAACCTTATGAGAAGTTAAATGTTTATGTAAATGATTCCATGAGTTCAGAAAAAACTGTGACTTATGGTGTACCACAAGGGACAGATTTAGGCCCGTTGTTTTTAACTGTGTATATCAATAGCCTACATACGACCTACAAACCTTAAAAATAAATTACCGTCATTTACCTCTTTACAAATTAAGCGTGACAATACAAGTACATTAATACATTCAGCTGATAAAACAAAATATTTAGGTGTTCATTTGGATCCTCATTTAAAGTGGAATTTCCATGTTGATCATATAGTAACTAATTTAAGACGATTATTATTTAAATTCAAGTACCTCACTAAATATCTAGACCATCAAACAATGAGGATGTTGTATCATGCACTTATTGAATGTCGCCTAAGTTATGCCTTACTAGCTTGGGGTGGTGCTCTCCCCAACCAAATTAATAATCCAAAAACAATTTTAGAAAATTATTTTTAAACGACCAATTCTATATCCGTCTGACATGTTATATTCCGAAGCGAGACTACTCGATCTTAGGCAACCCTTTTTTTACAACGTTTCAATTTATTCAAAAATAAAACAAACCTCATTTCATTGGACCACAAATATGAAACAAGAAATAAAGTCGAGGATATTAAAAGAACACCATTTGCAACACAAAATGTAGGTCAAAGATGCTTCAGTTACATCTCCACTAGATTTTGTAACTTTTTACCAAGCCATATAAAATTCATTTTAAATTAAAATAGATTCAAAATTGGAATAAAAAAATTCTTGTTAAATAATAATCGACATGAAATAGAAAAACTGACTAAAATGAAAATAAATTAGTATTTGAATATAATATTATTACACTTACTTTTATGATTATGTTGTATTTAAATTTATGTATTAAAAAGTGTTTTCCCACGCACAAGAATTAAATTCTTCTGTGGTTTTATTTCAGTTTATTAGCGTATACATGCATATTTATTTTCAATAAACTGTAATATTTTATCGGTGAATAAACTTATATTATTATTATGTTATTATTATATTATTATTATTATCAATATTATTTTGGTAGCCCGGTAGATGGCTGAATATCCTGTGTAATGCCAGAAACTGGGCCCTCTAGCCTCAGTTGCTGGTTGTTCACTGTCATATCTCTTTTCAACCAAACTTACTTCTAGCTCTTTATTGGAGAATAGAAACTTATCTCAGGAGTTGTATACCACAAAATCCCGAAAATGCAATGTCATACCGCGATCGCATGGTACGTAGTCCTGCCTTTCAAATGTCCAGCTCTCGGGATACAAATCTTACAGCAAAGCAACTAGACGCCAGCCTTTCGCACAATGCGATTATATGATCACTAAATTTCAACTTGTGATCAATTTATAGCCCCAGAAACTTTTTTTATTTTCATTGTTATAATTAGAAAACATTAAATTGTTGAACGCACATTTGAAGGACATAATGTTTGTTTTATCATTTGCATCACACCGTATGTTTATCTTCAACAGGTCAAGAGCTATAGTTTGTTGCAAGTTACAACATTGTGGCTGAATTGCTAATGTAGGTACGACCCCCTTCCCACTTCAGTTGGCCCACTTTGGGTTTGTACCAAAATATGCCTGTATAAACTAAACATGGCGAAACTATTCACTTCTAAAACAATTCATTTTCTCAAAAACATTTTAGGTACACTCTAGTCGTAAAGAATACATATTTGAAATCTCTTAGACCTATAACTAATAGAACATCTGAACAAATAAACAATGTGCAAATAAATGCGCGAAGTTAACAAAGCAACAATTGAAAGATTACCATTGGGTAACATCACCTTTATTTTTTATTACGGCTGAAATTCTTGAGGGCATAGTGTTAACCAAGTTTTGGCAAAAATTTGGTGTAAAACGATCCCATATTTCTTGAAGCTATTGTCTCAGTTCGGTGATTGTACGAGCAGGATGTTGTCGTAGAACCTTTTTCATCTCGTGCCACAAAGTTTCAATAGGTGACAGATCTGGACTGCTAGAAACCCATTTCAAAAGTGGTACATTATTTTCTTCCATCCATTTTATAGCCTTTTTTGAGGTATTGCACGCTGCACCATCTTGCTGAAACACAAAATCTTGGCCGGAAACGTTCTTCCATCACTGGTAAAAGCGATTCTTCTAAAATTGTCAAATATTTGTTTGTATCCACATTTCCATCAATAAAATGAAGTTTTCCTACTCATTTTATTGACATACTGCCCCAGACCATAATGGATGCTGGAAATTTCACTTTTCTCTTCAGACGCCACTCCAGTGCATTGCACACCATTGTTGAGGTGTCCATTGTCTATGTTCTTTAGCCCATCTAAGTCGATTTTTCTTTTGCAGTGGAGTTAATAGTGGCTTTTGTTTGGTCTATAAACAAGTTGTGCAACTTTAGGGTCTTTACTTCACTTTTTTTATAAGAAAACTTACCTTGCAAGTGCTAAATCCCACTTTGTGGGCCTCTCTATGAGCTGTGGACCTCGAAATTCTCCTTCCAGCAGCGTCGCTTCACAGAGCACTTAATTGTAAATAATTGGCACGCCTGTTTTTCACGATTATTCTTCTTAATGCTTTTCGGTCGGCATTTGTGATATTACTTTTTTTCACATATCGTGGCTTGATATTAACTGAACCAGTTACGTTATATCTTCTAACAATATTTCTCACACTATACTGCGATAAGTCTAGCAAAGTTGCAATTTCTGCGTTTGATTTCCCAGAATTAAGAAATTTAGTTATCAGTAACCGAATTTTCTCACTAAAAACCTTTCCTCTACCCATTTTGAAAACCCTAACTACCCAAAACTATTTTAAAAGTATTCTGACAGCTGTGATTAATAAAAACAATGGTCATGGCTTTTGTTTTTATGCAGCAAATTTGATTAGGGAGTGATAAAGTTGGTGTTTTCTGCTATATATTATCAAAATATTCATTATTAATATTTTAAACCTATAATACCCTGCTAGATTATTATTATTATTAGATATTATTTGTGTTTGATAAGAAAAAAACTAAGATTTCAATAGTTGGGCCAACTGAAGTGGGAAGGGGCTCGTATATCAGGAATAGCGTAGGGCTCAGAACAGACCCCTGGAGCACTCCCGAATGAGCAATAGAGATGTCAGATTGTTTATTATTAAGCCCGGACCATGGGATCTACCTGATAGATAACGGCGGAACCACTAAAGGCTAACTCCCGTGGTAACATGGCGGGCCATTTTTGCAGCCGATTTCCATGACTGAAACAATCAAAAGCTTTAGATAAATCACAGAAAATCGCCACGTGATCTTCTCCCTCATTCAGTTTCTATCAGTGAAAGGATAATATCGTTAATGTCTTTCGAACTCTGAAATCCAAATCGGCTGTCTTGCAACAAGTTATGTTTATTTAGAAAGTTGTTTTGACCAGTTTTGCAATAATTTACTATTTATAACTTTAATGACCTACATCTGTCTCTTTTAGGCTTCCCTGGGACTGGCACGAATACCCCTATTTCCAAATTACGTACGTGTTCCAGAACCTAGTAGCCATGTGGAACACACTAATCTGCCTAAATCTGGACACATTCTATCCGGCGCTAGCAATTCAAGTAGGACTCCAATGTGATATCCTATGTGCCACTTTGGATAGATTGCATGAATTTGTGACGGTTAGTGGGCAACTACACCATGTAGATGAAGGATTGAGGATATCACCACGTAGTCTAAAATTCTCAAATGAAATGCGCAAGAATTTACTTGTGTGCATAAAGCATCATCAACATATCATAGCGTAAGTGTTGCACAAAGAGATATTATTTAGGTATGCTACTTAGGGATGTATCATATGCACGCATAGTGAGCAGCGCTACTAGCAATGATATTTCAACAAGTGCTGAGCGTATTTAGCGCTGACCCTGTTGTCGATTCGGATCGGTCTGGGCTCCGACATTGTTCCTCTTGCATATCAACGACCATTTTTCTATACAACCAATCCGATTCACAGCTTTGCCGTTGACAGTATGCTGTAGAAAAGACGACTAGTTAGTTAATTATTACTGGCAGGAAGTGCAACAATCTGGTAGAGTTTAATAGTTCCAATGCACGTCCTGATCTGGTCACTACGACCGCTTTGTGGTAGGACAATCTACCTGAGGAGGTTTTTCCCAGTTCTATTACCCTTAGGCAGTTCAAAAATCGGATTCAACAAACTTTCTGTAAGCTAATTATAGCAGCCGCGGTGCCCTAGTATTGAGGCTTTTGCCTGGGCGGCTGCTTCAATATATAATAAAATCACAATATGGCGGAATCAGGATACTGGATTTAGTGCCAAAATCACTAGAACTGTACTGGAACAAAGGTGTTTCTTCTCGAAAAATGATTCACTTTATCAGGAATTGTTCAGCTTACGAATCAGGCTTTTCAGAAATGCTATTGTTGAGCTACACTTAGATTTCTTTTTCTTGGGGGGAAATCACCAAGAGATACCTGAGACCGGATATCTAGTATCCGCATTTAGGTTATGCCACCTGGGCTAAAAACCTCTTCCCCACCCTCATGCTGGGATTCGCCTGCGCTTACTACCAGCATGACTGTGTCTCACACATGTCTTCGTTTCCTCAGCGGCTTCTGCAGTAAAATTTCCATGTATATGTCCTAGGAGTTTGGGCTGTCCGTTCTTCTATCACCCTTGTCTTTAATGGATATTATTTCCCTGATAAATCTTTGTATCTTTATCCAAGATTGGTTGTTCGCCATCATGGTGCTAGTCAGATTACTCTCCGTCAGGTCGTGTCCTAGGCTAACAACGACTTGTGCCCTTTGTTGCTCCCATCTGTTGTACTTGAAGAGAGTGTGTGCAACTGTGTCTTTTTTTTGACAATACATGCATTCATCGCTGTCTGATTTCTGTATTCTCTTCGTGAAAACTCGAAAAGTACCATGCTGCATCAGTTCCTGCGTTAAGTGGTAATCCAGTCGTCTGTGCTTGCAAGCAATCCACTTCCCGATGTCAGGCAGCAAAGGTGGCCGCAGTAGTAGACTCTTCGGTCTCCTGATCAGTCGCCGTGCGCTGTGCGGGTTCCAGTCCCATCCCAGGAGATTTTTCTCTTGGCTATGGATGTTGTGATTGTCCGTAGGTGGTAAACGGTCTCTGACTGTCGAACGCGGAGGTACCACCCGGCGGATCTCGTAGGCGGAGCCAGAATGTGTGCATGTTGCCAGAGTCCGTGTGGCGTTTCCCCTTTCCCATGTATCCCTCTATAGCCCCACGGCGGTGCTTAGGCCTTAGGCCTTCGAGGTAGTTGAATTATAAAAAATAAGGTATTCGTTTTTTTTTTGTCCACTGAGCCACATCCTCCGTTAGGTGCCACTGCAAGTGGATCGGTGCTATCCCTGTAACAATTTGTAAGGCCTTCGTGGAGACCGTCTTGTAAGCGCACTCGCCACCCTCAGCAGCATCTTCCTTTGCACTCTGATGAACATGTGCCTGTATCTAGTAGTGCTCATTATGTCGTGCCAGATTGGGGCGCCGTAAAGTAATATTGAAAGCACCACGCTGTTTATAACCTTCCTCGTGTTGCTGGTAGGTCCGCCAATGTTTGGCATAATTCTTGCTAAATATGCTCCCGAAAGTGGCCTCCTTCTTCTAAGTGAATTCCTAGGTATTTAACAGACTTCTTTGGTGTTACGGAAGTTCCCCTGCAGTTAAAACTTAATACCAGCTTTGCTCCACTCCCCCTTTATGTTGTCAGCTTCTGTCTTCTGCGGTGCGAGTTCCAGGTGATGGGCCGTCATCCAGTTGTCCACTATCGTCAGGGTTAAATTTGCCGCATGCATAAGGGCCTCCTCATCCTGCGCTAGCACTATCACTGCCAAGTCGTCCGCGAACACCATGTGGCCATTTACTCCTCAGTACCCCATCGTAGACCAAATTCCGTAGAGTAGGGCCCAAGACTGAGCCTTGCGGTACACCGGATGTTATGTCTAAGGTCTCTTCTTTGGCTATCTGGAGTGACCTTCCACTGAGGTAGGCACCTATGAGATTTCGGAGGTATGGTGATATTTTCCTTGTTTTCAGCTCCTCCATTATGTTTTCCCACGGTAGCGAGTTGAAAGCGTTTTTGACGTCCACTGTGATGAGAACGCCCCATTTTTCCCTGCTGCCCTTAATGGTTTTAAGGACTTCGTCCACTACCATCAACGTATTTCTACCTTTTCCGAAACCATACTGGAACTCTGGTAGGCCACCGTAGTAATCTATTTCCTTCTGTAGCCTGGCAAGTATTAATAATTACGTAGCTTGCTAATTGTCAAGAGCAAGCAAATGGGTCTGTACTTGTCTTCTACTTTCGGTATCAGTAAGAGTTGGGCCCGTTTCCAAGATTCCGGAAAGCTCTGTGTGGTGAGGAGGTGGTTTAAAAGGCTCAAAACCGAAGCCTCTTTAATTACTTCTGGGGGTATACCATCAATACCAGGGGCTCTACCCATTTTGAGTTTTCATATGGCTTGTTCGAATTCCTCTTCCGTGAACATGTCTACGTTGTTGACCGTTTCTTAACTGTAGCTCCTAACTGTGTGTGGTGGGAACAGTTCTTCTGCTATCTCCTTTTTTCGTTCTTTTGTCATGCTATACGGCGCGAAACATCGGAATTTTTTCATGACAATCCGATATCCGTCTCCCCACACGTCCTCGTTAATGCTGTCACAAAGTTCGTTCCAGTGTTTTTTCTTGGACTCCTTGATCATCAGCTTCTTCGATGATCGCTTCCGGATGCCTGTGCCTGTGTTTGACGAGCCTCATGATGGTTTTACGTGCCTTGTGACACTTCTGTCTCTGTTGAGAGATATCGTTGCTCCACCAGTAAGGCATTCCGCTATGATTGTTGCTACTATTATACAGGGTGACTTTGAAGTTGAGTCATTAATTTTCACATAATGATGATTGTAGAAGGAAGATAAACCAAAATATGTGTGTAAAAATAAAAAGACATTAAAAAAAATGTTACCTTGTTTTATAAAGTATCCTCCCGGCAAGTATTTCAGTGCGGACCTGTATTTGATCGTGCGGTCTTGGAGCACCGGCAGGCCCTCCCCTGTAAGGTCTTAAGTCTCCTGATTCACGAGCCCTTTGTACTATATTAACAAAGGCACCAGGGGTTGGTTGCACTCGATTGGGAAACCGATTCGCACAAATCCGTGATGCCGCAGCAGCATTTTGTAATAAGAATCATGTCCACAAGTTCAGCATTTTCGTAAACATGTGCCATTTTTTATTTCGTTTGAGCCACGCAACAAAGACCACTATTCACTCACGCGTTACCGACTGACGAAAAACACCGTGATAAACGTTTCAAATTCTTTCGCTTTTTTGTTTCCGATGCGATGAACCGATAACGCGGATTATATCCGTTGTTGCCAAACACGAGCACATAATATTATTATTGAGACAGGGCGGTACTCAAACTTCTAAAGAGCTATAACTTTGTTACTTTAATTTTACCAGAAACATGTTAAAGGAAAAAAACATTTCTTTTGATCAGATCTACTCACTGTTAAAATAAATGACTCAACTTCGAAGATTTATGTAGAAAATTAGCAATACTGATTGGGATCTATGGCAAAACAAAAGGAATTAATTGTTTTCCATGGACACAATCTTGTGAGGCCCAAATTGACTCCAATGCTGTCAAGATTTCGTTTGATAACATAATTTTATTTAAAGGTTGCTTGTATAAAAAGCAGCATCCTATAGGTGAACTCAGTAAGACATATTTATAGGAACATGTGGCATTTTTTATGCGTACGAAATATTGATATGTTACTCTGTGACGCCCTGAATACGGCATCGCATATATCTCTAAAACTACCAACCTTTGAGAAAAGTTTATTAGGACTTCTTTTGTTCAGAATGACTCCAGCATGTTAAAAAAATGACCGCGTCGAAAAAAAAACAATTTTTGAATTGGATTAAAAAACGGTTAATTTGACAGCTGTCTCAATTTGACATTATTCGGACATTTTTTTAAGAAAAATAAGATACCATGTATGACATGTCTCAATCGTCTTTTGTTTTCCAACAACCCGCGCCAACTTTCATTTTTCTTATGGCCGCCATTTTGGATTTTGGAAAAGAGTGTAATATTTTCAGTCTAGCGATGTCTCACAAGTGCATAAAGTAGAATTAGAGTATCACCGAAATATCATCAAACGTAATTTTACTTATTAGTTTTTTTTTTCTAAGGAGGCCATGATTTATTTGTCAGAAGATAACACTAATTAGTAAGGCAAAAAAACCACATGAACGTCTTGAATTTTCTATAGAATATTAACGTTAATATCGACTTCTCAACAAGTCAAATGCTTTGGGACAAATTTCTAACTATGAATGTGTTAAAAAAAACAAGTCTGAAAAATCGTCGTGTAAATGTATTTTACACTTGAACAAACAAACATGTTACAAAATTATAATGTACAATCTAATTTTGGAAGTGAGTATTAATTTCTAGATTTGAAAAGTAACGTCCATTTGCATCCAGACATTTTTGACAATTGGTGACTCTTTTTCGCACAATCTTAGCTAGTGTATTTCTGTTAATGTTTCTAACTGTGCTCAAAATAATTTGTCTCAGGATTTCTATGATCGCGGAATCGCAATTTCAAAATCCTGATTCTTCGTGTGACGCCAGAGGTAAAAATCCAAGGTTCTTCTAAACTCGTCTTTAGTTAGAATAGCTTGCAAAGCTCTATGTACCTCTGTCTGTTTAGGTTGTAGTTGAACAAAAGTGGTCCTATAAGTCGATTTCCTGAAATGATTATTACCTAATTTCAAATAGGTACGGTAAGTTAGATTCAATTACCAATGACCCCACACCAAACGTTAGTTCCAAATCTGGTCTCTAGACGTCTCTTTGCCACCACGTGAGGGTTTCCACAGCCCAAGCATGAGTTTGGTGCTTATTAAAAACTCCACAGTTCGTTAACCTACTATTTTCCTAAGACCACTCACAGAAGCGCATTCGCCATGGAGAATCAGTTTCCTTAAGTCCTTGAACAATCGTAGATGTGTATTTCCTTAAGCACTTGAACTATCGTAAGTGTGTATGGATGGTATTTATTCTTATTTAACACTATCTGTACTGTTGATTTTAATACATCTATTTCTCGTTCTACCGTCTATCATTTAAATATTTTTCAGTATGTCATCTGAAATTGAAGATATTTATCGCAAAAGTTGTTTCGCACTGATAATTGGAGGGGTTTTCGTTATATGTACATCATTACTTCAGCTGTCTATTGTAAGTATTAATGAAAAAATTACGCCGGTACGTATCGATGATTACTTAAATATAATTTTTAGGCAAGAGTTGGATCGCTTGCTTATTTAACGAACTTATTCTACTTGATATGTATGAACACAGAGCAATTTGTGTATTGCTGGTTTGGAAACGAAATCATTGTGAAGGTAAGTATCTTCTAGAAACTGCATAGCTTTGGAGTTGTTGCCAATTTCGTTCTTATCAACGTTGTACACTCCCTTTTTTTGTATCTCATCGCATCGCTTTCGAACGCGCTGTTATGCCGCATAACTTTGTTCCAAGCAGCCACGTACGTTGAAGAAGCCATGTTAATCCGATTTTTAAACTGCTTAATGCTCATAGAGCTGGGTAGAGCCTCACCGGGTAGATTGTTCCACAATCTGGATAATCTGGAAAAGAAGAAGCAGTTCTGGATGTACAAAGCTCTTGAAAGCAGCATGAAGCAAAGCTCTGAGGGGCGTAGTCCGTTGGCGTAGCAGTAGAAGAGAGCTAGATCTCTGACGCCCCGCTCGTGCGAAATGGTTCGGAGACAGTCCGTTAGAGAATAGTCGTCGATCAGTCAGACAGCCCTCCTGCACGTAGCATCGAGAATGGATAATCTTCTTGAGGCGGCAGCCCCCAAACATGAGACGGTCTTAGAACCTTTTTGGGGATAGGATGGATAAGACCAAAATTCAATTTTTCTGGGAAAGTGCCAGAACAGTAAGGTATCTGGAAGGTGCGGTCAAGAACTGGAGCAAGCTCCGCTGCACATCTCTTCAGTACAATGGCACCAGTAAAGTCCGGACCAGAAGCTTTGTTGATGACGAGCGCCAAGAGCACCCATCTCACGGCCTTATGGCTGAATGTAGCTTACCGCCTTTTAGATCGATGACACCCGAGTGTTACGGGAAACATCCATGGTGGGCTTAGCAGCAAAGATCTTGCCTGGCACTTCCTCCTTAGTAAGTGATGGAAGGTTAGAGAACCTCCCTTCAGTCAGCTTGGCCATCGCCCAGAAAGACCGACTGTCATTGTGCTGCAACATTCACCCTGTGCTTAATTTTTACATTGTGGCATTGCAAACCGCTTCGTTGAATATATCACAATCTGTGAGGTGTGTACAAAGAACAAACTTTCTTTTCAGCTTCATTATTTTGCGATATGACGCAACCTCACGATCTTTGTACTTGTATCTTGACTAGATAGACTTCTTTTCTAGAACTTCCAAAGTCCAAGGTTTTTGAATTAGTACTTTTTCGTTAATTGACCCTTTGACAAAATATACAAGTATGCTGCTCATAGAATAATCAGGAGATACTGGAGGAAAGATATAATGCGATGGCACAAAACACAAATATCATATCCTACAATATTTCCGTATTTATTAGCGTCTCTCCCATTTGTCGTAACGACTGAACCAACCTGTTTGACCTGCTTTTATTACAGTCTTCAAGAATATATCGTTCCATATACAACACACCTTGGATAGACTGTGATGTCAAGTATCGGAGACTGCTGATCCAAATGATGGGTCAAGCTCGAAGAGGAATCAACCAAAGAGCTGGAGGTATCATCTCTCTATCGACGGGGACTTATGCTGCGGTAACTATGAACAACTCGTACACAATTCGCAGTGTAGCCTGTCCTAGAAAGAACTAACATTAACCGAGATGTGCCCAAAGGCCTATTTGTAGTAAACCTCAAAAAACGATTCAGTATAACGTTGTTTGGCTTAGGCCCGGTGCTTCAATTGCAAGTTCACTGTGATTTTACAGCTAACCAGAAGTATACTTTTAGTATGTGTTTTTCAATATCAGGTTTATCCTAAAAGTGTAGTTAATTTAAACCAGAAGACCATCTACTATACTACAACTATTTAAAACTGTAATGACTCATACGCATGATCAACACGTGATCAGAGCTCGATCTCGGCTTCCTTCCAGTACAGCCGTATAACGTACGACATATGTCGTTTCTGTGGCTTTGCGGTGGTCAACAGCACAAACAGAGATGGAAATAATGGCTGATTGTTCTCCGCCGGTAGAACCAATGAAATCAAAGACGCGCCTCGACCGGCAGACTCATAGGCGTCGGCAACGCATTGGAACGTGTTTCGTTGAGCGATCGCATATTGTGTGTTTTTTTATTAGAATTGTTATGTGATTGTTATTGTTGTGGTTTCTGTGGTTACTGTTTTGGTTATTCTTAACCATGGAGAGTACACATGGCACGAGTGGAAATACTGAAAGCCAGGGAACAAGTAGACGGCTTCGTAAAGCACTGAAGAGGGACGCGAAAGAAATCGTGCTCAACGTGTTCAATTATCTGAACAGAATTGTGTCGCAGGGAGATGCACTCGCGCGTTGTGAAAGTATGACAGGCGTTCCAGAATGGACCATTCGCAGGGTGGTGCATGAAAAGTAGAAAACTGGAGCTACTAGTGATCCAAAGTTTAATTTGAAGGGACGAATGTCCGTTAAATTGGATGACGATAGCAAAATGGCGTTAAGGCGAACCGTACATTCATTCTTCTTTAGGAATGAGATACCAACCCTCAAGGCTGTACATGCAGCGATCAAGGAAAATGAAATTATACCCAAAATGAGCGTCGAGGTAATGAGGAAATCCCTGCACGATATTAATTTTCGTTACGAAACGCGTAATCGGAAGTCAGTATTGATAGAGAGACCTGAAATAGTCGCCTGGCGTCGAAAATACCTACGCGAAATGATTGCATATAGGCGACAAAGCAGAAAAATCTATTATTTGGACGAGACATGGGTAAATGCAGGTCACACAGTTAAAAAAACCTGGATAGACAAAAACGTAGTGAGTAACCGACAAGCAAGCATTAAAGGTTTGTCAACAGGTCTTCGTGGACCGTCAGGGAAAGGCCAAAGATTGATCGTAACTCATATTGGTAGCGATAGTGGCTTTTTAGAAGAGTGTGACTTGATTTTCGTCTCTAAGAAAAGAGGTGATTACCATGACGAAATGAATGCCAGCTGCTTCGAGAGCTGGTTTCAAGGGGTGCTTCAGCGAGTTGAGCCCAACTTTGTGATCGTCATGGATAATGCTTCCTACCATAGTCATCGAGCCGAACGTGTACCGACTATGGGATCTCGAAAAAGTGACATGCAGCAATGGTTGCGCGAAAAAGGAATCCCGTTTGACGATTCATGTGTGAAAGCGGAATTGTATGAAAAAATTAAACAGCACAAACTTGCGAACATTAGTTACGTGACTGATGAGATGGCCCGTCAATGTAGTGTCACTGTGCTGCGGTTACCGCACTACCACTGTGAACTGAACCCAATAGAGCTCATCTGGGCTCAAGTGAAGGGTTATATTGCGCGCCATAACACAACCTTCAAATTACCAGACGTTAAGGTTTTACTTGAGACTTCCATACAGCTAGTAACGCCCGAAGCATGGCAGAATGCTATCCGTCATGTTGTGAAGGAAGAAACAAAAATGTGGCAGCTTGACCACCACATCGACACCATCATAGAGCCAGTTATAGTCAATTTCAACGATGAAAGCGATAGCGACAGTTTATTACTGTCAGATGTAAGTGGAAGCGACGATGAATAAAGGTAATTCCCAAATTTTTGACTTACAATATGTTTCAAACCACTCTTTATTAAGCATGTGACAAATCTAGTTCACCCATGTTAAACATGCATACCCCGCCTATGAACAGCCGACTACTGGTAGTTAAGTGATGTTCACGTGAACATCGATGAGTCATTACAGTTTTAGATAGTTATAGTATAGAGAGTTGTAGTTACACCGCAATTCTTAACGTTTTTACTTAACAGTGACATGAATTGTGGCGAACGATACGCCATACAAACATCGAGCTTCACCGCCGGCTCCTGTCTCTTTCTAGCATGTGTTGATACACACTTCTCAGGCTTCTCTCTCACACATCAAACTCAAGCCGTTAGACAAATTTGGTTTTCCCTGTATAAAGTACATTGGGCATATATGATACTGTCACTTTTTTGTTTAACCCTTAATTTTTTGCGGTATAACAAATGACGTGTATGTTTGATGGCTATGAGTATATTTGTTAAAGAGGGTTCATTACAAATGTTATATTGATCCAAAATAAGAAAGGGTATGTATATCAGATAGAACATGCATCTCACATCCTAAATTTGGATTTAACAGATGCAGCTTTTTATCACAAAATAACAACTTGCTGTCAAAATTGTGGCAAATGGTTGCCAAAACAACTTTTTGAATAAAAATGTTACTTCTGCAGTTTCAGTTGTGTTCTTGTACCCCATTCATGCTATGAGGAAATTAGGGTCATGATAACTTTGGGCATATCTGGGGTAATTCATCACTGACAATCCCACTAAGAGAATTCGCAACCCTCAGACTCGAATTATTTTTGAGAGCTGACCAACTTTCACAAAAGGTTACCTTTTGCGTATGATCACCACCCTCCTTCCTGATAAAAATTCTTGCGGACGCCCATGCTTGGATACACGTCAGCTTGATGTGGTTAATAAAACTCACTAAATAATCCAATACATATATTCGCCGACAACAAACAGAGTTTTACAAGACGTTGGCCGCGGCGGCGCACGAGCGTCTCCTCTTCTTGAGTGTCCAGGGCGAACTGCCTCCGCAGTTCCTCCAATGTTGCCGATGTGCGCAAATTATCCGTGAAACTTTTCACTGCACGCGCGAGAAATTCATATAGTCGGAACACCCTGAACCATCACACAATTTAAAGCTTTTTATTTTCAGGTTTTGAGGACATCCTATTCCTACTTCACAGTCCTCAGACAAATATAAGGTTGGACAACACTTGCTAATAAATTTATTATCTGTCATTAGTATTATAATAGACATAAGATATTGTGTATCGTAGACACGTAGACGTAGAAATAAACTATCACAGCATTCGGACCAGTCTAGTTGATGAACCCATTTTGCTAACAATAATAGCACTGGTAGTGTGCTATATCCAAAATCGACAGTATCTAGCGGTCACCGTGATGACTAGATTGTTGAAGCGAATTGAGATTCCTTTACAGTTCTAATGTGCTTTCTAGTTCACATCGGTGGACTCGTTCAATAGTTCTAGAAACTGGTTCGCAAACGAACTATTTTACACAAGAATAATGTCAGTGATAGCGTCGCCTATCAATCTTTCATGAGGACGGTATATCGCCGAATAAGGTCTTTTGGACTGTTTTCATGCCATCCCCATTTTGTACTACTTCTGAACTCACAGCATCGTCGGCAATTATTGGTATGGAGTAGGGAGAGACTTGAATGGAATATGGAATAGAACTCAGTCGTGTTCAGCGATCAGTCCAGATTCTGTTCGGGCACACATGATGGCCGAGCAAGGGTAAGTAGGAGACGTGGTGAACGTGGGGAACGTCCATCATTCCATCGAACTGCATACCCATAGCACTGTAGGTGTTATGATGTAGGATGCAATTGCCTACAACAGCAGGTCACGAATAGAGTTCACTCGATTTAGCATGACTGCCCAGCGCTATATCCACTATGTTTTACAACCACATCTGCTTCCCTCGCTGGAAACATTTCAAGATCCACTTTTTCGTCAAGACAATGCACGACCTCATGTCGCACGTGTTAGCTTAGACTTTTTAGAAGCGTCCGGGGTAAATCTGCTTCATTGGCCTCCTCGATCTCCAGACCTTTCCTCCATCGAACATGTATGGGACATGATGAGAAGAAGGTTGCAAAATTCACCGCACCCTCCACAAACATTGTAGGCGTTACGAACCCAAATGCTGATGTCTGGGATTCAGTACACCAAGAAGACATCAATCACCTAATCCAGTCAATGCCGCGACAACTGAATGAATGTGTAGGCAGCAGAGGGGCTTCAACACATTATTAACGTTAATCACTTTTGCACAACACAATTTTAATCACTTTCTGTTTATCAGAAGACCTGAAACTTGTATGCTCAAAATAACAGCACTCCCAGTCGGTGTTGCATTTTCTATGTCATTTTGTATAATACTGTTTTTTCGCGTCTGATTAAAAATCATTTTTGTTTAATCTGATTCAAAAAGGATCGTTTTTAATGAGTCTGCAGATCTGAAATTCTGTCAAAAATTGTTTTTCTTTTTTTTTGTCAAGGTTGTACAAAAAACTTAATCAGAATATGTTTCCGACTAGATGCGAAGATTGTTTCTGGACTACCGCGAGTAATGGATGTGTGATCGCATCCAAATGGCAGGAACATTCCAGCCACTAGAGGTATCATCTCAGCTACCGCGGCGGAATCTGTTTTTTCGACGAAGTGGCTCTTCTACTGGTAACTCTATATTCTTCGATTTTACCCTCCATTTGGGACTCGCAACAGTTGGGTGTGACCCCCCTACAAATTTTGATATGAGACTCCCCGAAGGGCAAGCTACGCCACTGTTACAATTACTATCCAGGTATCCACCTCCACGTTTTCGCTTCTGGTAATTCATACCATTTATGCTGTCATATACTAAGTGACATATAAATCCGAACACCCAGTTTAAATGGTTTTATTTTAATAAAATTTTGTATAAGTACTTAAGGCGGCTCCGACGCAGTGAGTTTGAGGCCATTTACAATGGTTTAGCTGCTTCGGAATTGACGCTCCATTTTTCTATATATTTGAATAAAATTTATACAGTATTTTCAGAAGACAATTGTCCAGGGTGCTATAGAGCCACTTTTCTAAAAAAAAAATTTTTTCAGGAGTTATGGTAGGTGGAAGTGCAGATAATTGTTGTTCGACTTCTCGATTTTTTTAAAAATAACCCAGAGGAAAAAACGAAAAAGTGGCTCTATAGCACCCTGTGGAGTCTTGTTTTTAGTGCACTGTGAAAATTTCATTGAAAAATATTCAAAAATGAAGCGTCAATTTTGAAGCGCGAAAACCTCTGCAAATAGGCTTTTACACGAATTTTATCCACTATCTCGTGCTGCCAGTCGAAGCAACGCGGCGGTGTGTACGGACTAAGAAAGGACGTATTCAGATAATTTGTTGTCCCAAGTTAAACAGTAGCAGTTTTAACGTCGGTCGTTCGAGATAAACATCGGACCAGTATGTGATATTTTTAATAGACTTCAATGAAAGAGGGGAAATTTTTAATCGATTTTGATCATTTCTTTTTATACAATAGGCCATGCTTCAGAGGTGATACCACAAAAAATCATTTTTGTTCAATCACCCCAATATGGATATCAAATGGAAGCACTTGTACAAAACAGTAATACGAAAACAGTTTCAAATCAAGATGGCGGCCGTTACAAAATGGCGGATAACATACTTGCTAATATCTCAAATAAGAGTCGTCGCCTTGTAGAATACAGTACTTCACTAAAAATTTGATTCCAAGATTGCCGCCGTTTCGAAATTGCGAGTTACATATTTTTGTACAAAACCCCCAATTTACATATCAAATGAAAAGACTTGACATGTGTGGTAAAATACAGAACTTTGTGACCAAAAGTTTCCAGGTGGTTCCAGGGTCATTGGAGGCGGTAATCTTTTTAGTTAATAATAATAATTATAGTGAACGCATTTAACACAAATAAAATGTCACTTGCTGTTTAGCTTTAGCCTTATGGAGTATCGTAAAATAAACTTAACACGATAAGCGTCATGAGATATAATGCGTGTGTCGCACCTCATTTGGCGCTTTGGGCCTCGTGACACACATGATATGTCTCACTGCTGGCAGTTATATTTGGCCGCGTAACGTAAGACGTGTGCCATGCTGATGTGATTTTCTTACGGGAACCAAGAGTCCGTGGCCTGAGGGACCAAATTATACTGAATTGGAAATGAAAACATTAAAAAACACGTTGTTTATAGAGTTTTACAAAAAGAGGATATTCTACAAATCTAAAACAAAAAGCAAATCTTATAAAATAATCAGACATTCTCATTCAAAAATGAACAAAGTAATTTCACAGCAAATCAGTAAGTTATGGTAAATGTCGATATTCTAACGAACACAAATATGGAGGAACTCTTATAAACTAAACAGATTGACAAAGTCTTATGCAGGAATAAACAAAATACCGGTATAAATAAACAGTAATACAGATAAATATGGAATTACTAGAACTACTATCTGATTCACTACCACTTGGAGAATATGCATCAGATAAGTATACATCCCCACATAACTCAGTACTGCCACTCTCTTCATCCGATAGTATTTCATTACACAATTGTTCAAGCCTTTTTTGCTCCGCTTCGTAATGCGACATCACAAATTTGGTATTCAATAATTTATAAACAGTAAAGCAATTTGGACAAGATGACGTACAATACCAACAACGCTTCAATAATAAATGACACGAAACAGTGCTCAACGCGCGACATGATGCAAGTCTTGACTTGCAAAAAACGCGACGCGACTTATGTGCCACGCGACCCGACTGGTCTGTGGGCCACGCGACATACAACTAGTACCTCAGAAAAAAAAATCAAAAAAGGGGAAAAATCATAGGATTTGAGAAAAAAGTCAAGTCAAAATATTAAACCGAAACTTAAAACAAGCTAATTTGACAATAATAACAGTTTGGCCCAGTGGACTGGACTTTCAGATTCTACTGTGGCGCTTAACGTGTCAATGTGACATTTCAATATTCGCCATCTAACAGACTAGATAAAGCTAGCCGATGCTACGTGCTATTGAGCCTGACGATTGACTTTTATTTAAATAAACAATATATACATAACATACAATAAATAGTGAACATCTGGTACTAGTACCAAAATGGAAGAGATTAGCATAACATCTCGCACATCGCTGCTAATGCGAGATCTGCACACCGAAGGGGTTAGTAACGGCCTACAATGTAATATGCTAATCTCTTCCATTTTGGTACCCGAGTACAGCAAAAATAGCCAATTCTCAAGAACTCTTTTTCTTGTTCAAACGGTTCTCTTGTGCCTTCAAGATCGCATCGGGATCGCGGATTGGCATATTTCTGCTTTTCCTGGAATCGACCAGTTCTGGGAGCAAGCAGTTCATGTAGAAGAATTTCAATTTCTCTCCCATTTCATTTTTCCAGAAAACGTCATCCCTTTGAATGACGTCTATTTTCATACCATACGGGGTCCAAGCACGAAGCACACAGTACTCTCTATGTGCGACGTGTAGCTGCCCTTGAATTTGGTAATACCACTTATGTTTTTTATTTATTTCATCGTTTATCCAAAACGTAATTTTTTTGTTCAGAATGCCCTCTTCAGGGGTCATTTCTCTAACCGACCATGGACATTTAATTTCTAGCAGACCTTTTTCGCCTATCAAACCATCTGGCGATGCTGCCAGAAATGGATGGGTCCTATCAATAAACAACCCGCAAGATTGTACTTCTGATTGCGAATATGATTTCTCTATTTCTGCCTTTGCCACGCTTTCATGCTTTTTTCCATAGTCACATGCATTGCTAAAGAATTCGGTTGGGTATATTATGGCGTTTACTAGAGCTCTGCAACTTGTTGTATCTCTTCTTCTACAAACCTCATCAAACCGAGACGCAGTCAACCTCATTCTTCGATGAAGACGCCACAAATTGCAATCCTGAGATTTTGTGGCTTGCTCGATCTGGGAAATTTTGGAGTCGGTTTTTGCAAGTTTTTTCAAGAATTCTACCTTGGCAGCCTCTATATCTTCGTTGCTCATGTCAGGCTTCTCACAGAATTCCCCATAGGATGCGTTCTCTTTAGTATCACTATCTCTGATTTTAATTTTCCTTGGTTTCAGCTTCCTTTTCAGATTTTTGTGCGCTCTCTTTTCTTCAACTTTAGCAATCAAAGAGGTTGGACTGAAACTAGGGAGTAGCCGCTTTTGGATCACACAAACAGGTCGCTGTGTATTGTGGCTCACTACAGCTGCAGCACATCTTCCTTGGTAGGATCTCTTCTTGCAATAATTAATCCGTTTACCCCCAATGAATTTAGCTATGATTGAGTTAAACTGCTCTACAATACTATTATCGACGCCATGAAGTAAACTTACTGCATTTTTAATCAGAATTGCCAGAAATGATATCAGCCTCTGGTGCAAATCTAAAAAAAAGGGTATACACACCTGAATTTGAAGATCCATGCCATCCGTCTCTGTTAGAGAATGCATATGCGAAACCTTGCTGTCATTTTTAAGCTAAAATAACATATAAAATATAGTTATAATAGTAACTACGTATAGTCTAATTTATTGGCAAAATGAATGCTAAAATTCATAATTGTTTTGGTACCTACCTTTCTATCTGGAAAACGTTTTCTTCGAGTTCGAGTTTATTTCTCTTATTGTTCATTTTTGATACCTTGATAAGAAAGACACTCAACAATAACAACACAACAATAACAACACGATAATACAACAATACAATAACAGTAATAAGAGTAATAAGGGCTGAGTATACTATGCGCCAAAATAGGGAAACAGTCGTACGCTAGATCGTATATCCAAATCAAATCCGACTCTGTGCAATATGCAAATTCAACCAGGCACGCGAACAGCACACCTCTGCGAATTACTATCCTTTTCTAACGTAGAGCGCTTGCCTTGTCACAACGCCGTCCTACTAGCGTTTCCCTATCACCCCCCCGATACCCCTCAGAAACTCTGCTTGACTGTGAGAGCGCCGTTAATGAAGCATAATAAGTAAATGATAAAAATTTCAAAATGATTGCACTGCTTTAAAGCCCTTTGACCTTTAATAATATGTGGATGCACCCTGATATACCTACGCATTCTCCAACGCGCCTAGGCATGCTTCTGATCAGGTGGTCAATGTCCTCCTGTGGTATCTCATTCCAGGCAACCACCAACTCCTCTCGAAGTGCTTCTAGAGTCTGAGGAGGACGTTGCAAATTGAGCAATCTCCTACCCATCATATTCCACACGTGCTCAATTGGGGATAAGTCGGGAGATCTTGGTGGCCATGGTAACAACTGTGATGTCATTATGTTGAAAGAAGTCTATTGTGACTCTTGCAACATGTGGTCGGGCATTATCTTGTTGGAAAGTTGGATCTGCCAGGGTGTCAAGATAGGGTAAAAGATGGGGTTCTAGAACTTCGTGGATATAACGCTGCGCGTTCATGTTACCTCTGATGAAGATTAAAGGTGACCTGGAACCATAAGCTATAGCACCCCAAACCATAACTCCAACAGTGTGATGAACATGTCTTTCAACAAAAAACTGTGGATTCCTCCTTTCACCACGTCGCCTTCTAACCCTTACACCAACGTAATCGCCTTGAGTGGTGCAGACAACGGTCACTCTGGGATCAGGAATGGAACAGTATTGTCTTTAGTGACGAGTCTCGATTTTGTTTAGGCATGCACGATGGTCGTGCCAGGGTTAGAAGCCGACGTGGTGAAAGGAGGAATCCACAGTTTTTTGTTGAAAGACATGTTCATCACACTGTTGGAGTTATGGTTTGGGGAGCTATAGCTTATGGTTCCAGGTGACCTTTAATCTTCATCAGAGGTAACATGAACGCGCAGCGTTATATCCACGAAGTTCTAGAACCCCATCTTTTACCCTATCTTGACACCCTGGCAGATCCAACTTTCCAACAAGATAATGCCCGACCACATGTTGCAAGAGTCACAATAGAATTCTTTCAACATAATGATGTCACATTGTTACCATGGCCATCAAGATCTCCCGACTTATCCCCAATTGAGCACGTGTGGGATATGATGAGTAGGAGATTGGTCAATTTGCAACGTCCTCCTCAGACTCTAGAAGCACTTCGAGAGGAGTTGGTGGTTGCCTGGAATGAGATACCACAGGAGGACATTGACCACCTGATCAGAAGCATGCCTAGGCGCGTTGGAGAATGCGTAGCACATCAGGGTACATCCACACATTATTAAAGGTCAAAGGGCTTTAAAGCAGTGCAATCATTAGGAAATTTTTATCATTTACTTATTATGCTTGGGACCTCGGTTGGCCGCGTGGATCAGAGTGTCAGAGGGTCGTGCTATTGATCAGCCGGCCGGCCGGGTCGCGATTTCGAATCTCGCCTTCGCCATGGATATTGTGACGTCGTGTGTTTGTCCATAATTAGATATATTCTATATACCAACCTAGTTTCTGGCTGCATGGCTTAGTCCTAAAGCCAAAAAAAAAAAAAACTTATTATACTTCATTAAGTACTTATACAAAATTTTAATAAAATACAACCATTTAAACTGGGTGTTCGGATATATATGTCACTTAGTATATTTCTATCACTACATTAACTTGGACATACAGCGTGTTCATTTGAAAAGTTCCCATTACGGGTTTATCGAAAACCACTGATTTAATGTGATAACGCCGAAACACGTCAAAGGATCTGACAACCAAATACTACTTCACCCCCTTCCACCCTCTGCCCCCAGGGTCATCCCCTTAAAATAGTAATAGCTTGTTTGAAAGGTCATTTGAAGTGCTTTATTATGACAATTGATTTATTAACATCGGTCGATTCGCTTTAAAAAAAAATAGAATCACCTGTATTTATCTTAATTTGTTCAGATGGAAAACAAAATATAGGCGATGTTCAAATTCCTGACAGACATTTTCAAAAACATGTTGTGAGATATCATGGCATCTTTCGATGATGAGTTGACGAACTTCATCCAGACTTTCAGGTGGGGAGTACACACAATAGATTTTAAATGACCCCATAGAAAAAAGTCTATTGGCGTTAAATCAGGAGATCTAGCAGGCCATTCTGTAGGCCCTCTCCGCCCTATCTATTTATCTGAAATTTCGTCGTCTAGCCATTGCGCAACCGGAAGAACGTAGTGAGGAGGAGCGCCGTCTATCTTGTCTACAACCCTTCTAGTACCATATTTAGTACTACTAATAGTAGTGCCTTACAGTTAATAATTATACACAAAGTTTCGCCACAGTCTTCTGTCTTTTGCAAGTATTCTAGCTTCTGCTGCTGTAATTCCTCTCATTTTTAATGTTTCTTCCATAGCTTTGTCCCACGTTGTTTTAGGTCTTCCTCTCGATCGACTTGGTACCGTCCTTGCCTGCCATATTCTTTTCACTTGCCTAGTGTCCTTCATCCGGTTTATGTGTCCAAACCATGTCAGCTGACTTTTTTCGATCTCCGTTGTTACTGCTTCTACTCCCAGATCGTATATTATTTGTTCGTTTCTTATTTTGTCTGCACTCGTGACGCCTCTGATCCTCCTCAAGAACCTCATCCGAAGCGTTTGCAGCCTTTGTTTCATTTTCTTTGTCAGCACCCATGATTCTGATCCCCATAAAGAACAGGTAAGAAAACTGCTTTATACATCTTTAGCTTGGTATCGAGTTATAGTTCTTTTTTGGCTAAGCATGTTTTATTTTGAGCATAGTACAGTTTCGCAGCTGCATTTATTCTTTCATTTAGATCTCTCTTTCATGTCTTCCTTTAGCGTCTACTTTGGTTCCTAGATACTTGAATTAACTTACGCGTTCTAGTCAATGTTTTCCTACTAGTAGGGCGGCTTTGTTTTCATGTCTCGCTATTGCCATTATCTTACCCTTATCTATGTTTATTTTGATGTTCGTGAAAGAGAGAGCTTCGTCCCATATGGTTAGATTTGTTTGTATATTTCTTTCACTCAGCAAATATGGCAAGATCGTCTGGGAATGCGCACTCGGCTATTGTTACCGATTCTAGGTTTTCATATCCTATTAATAGCTTTTTGGTGTCGTGTCTGGTTTCCAACATTATTTCATCTATAACTAAGATGAATACTATCGGGCTCAGTACCCTGCCCTGTCTTAGTCCTTGGTCCGTTGTGAATTCATCCGTATCCAATTCACCCACGCGGACATAATTTCGGCTTGCGATACCTTGAATTAGCTTTGTTCCCACTTGTCTTTTTTGCTATTTCTGTCTATCCTATCAAAGGCCTAATCTAAGTCCAGAAAAGCTACGTATGCCTCTCTGTTTTGATCCCGTGTCTTTGCAATCACTTCTCTGATGATAAAGATGTGGCCCTGGGTGCTATATCCTTTCCGGAAGCCGCTTTGGGAATCTCTCATCCCTTGTTCGATTTTCTTGGTCAGCTTGTTTTCCAAAATCCTTTCAGCTTGGCTACGACGCTCAATAATGTGACTCCTCTAAAATTTGTGCATTCTTTTGGGTCCCCTTTTTTGGAAATCAGAACCACGATTCCAACTTCCCAGTCTTTGGGTACGACCCCTGAATCCCATATCTGCACAAATAGGTCTAATAGTGTTTCCATGCATCTTGGTCCCATTGTTTTAATCATCTCTGGCTTGATACCATCATGCCCTGCTGCTTTACCCATGTTCATCCTTTTGACTGCTCCTACTAGTTCCTGAATTTCTATCATCTCTAGGTCTGTTCCTGAATGTAGTAGATACTGGAATTGTTAATTCAATGGTACGTCATTAGTCTTAGTTAGTAACTGGTAAAAGTACTCCTTCCATCTTTCTTTTATGTCTTTTTCTTCCGTTAGTGTATTTCCATCCATTGACTCAACGGCTACCGATCTTTGGTGTTCTTCTTTTCTAAGTGACTTGAGAGCACTGTAGAACAGTTTTTTGTTTGTGTTGCTATTCTGCTCCATCTCCCTCCCAGTATTTCCTCTTTTCTTCTATTATCAACTTTTTCAGGTTATTCCTTTGTATCTTATATTCGTCGTATGCTTCTGTTGTTTTTCTATGTAGATACGTCTTCCATTTATTTTTCTTTTCTTTCACGTGCTGTTTAGTTTCTGGCGTCCACCAAGCAGTTTGTTTCATATTTTTGTTCATCTTTGACAGATCGCAAACGTCTCTGGCTGACTCGAATATAGTATCTTTGAATTTACGCCATACTTGCTCAATACTCCAATCTGTAATATGTTCGTATATATTTCCTACCTTGGCTTCGGTTACCTCTCTGTACATCTTCAAGATTTCAGGATCTTTCAGTTTATATATTCTGATGGTTTCGTATCTATTTTATTTATTTATTTATTTGCAACAGGTGAAACCCAATTACAGGAAACGCTGAAAAAAATAACAATTAAAGAGACATGGTTCCTGGACTTAAATCTATAGTATCACACATTCTAAATAAGATTGGATGATCTATAGCAGTTAATAATCGATGCACAACTGTCACTGTAAATATCACACGATTCAGTAACACTGTTCATGATGCAGCACATGAGATTAATTGTCGATTTTGTCGTAACATTTATACGGCAAGCTTGACAATAGAATGCCATTTGTTGTCGACTTCCTAGCCTTGGAACGCGGATACATATTTTTTCAAGTAAATTTTGCCAGTCAATTTTATTGTGAATGAGGCCATACAAAAACGACAAAGCAAATATGTTTCGTCTTGTTGACAGTGAATCCAAATTGAAAAACTCTAATAGGGCACTATGGTCACAACCTCTTTCTGGATAAGAACCTGTGCATTTAAGGTGAAAATACTTTAAAGCTTTACGTTGAATGGCCTCAAGGATCCCGACAGAATTTTGGTATATAGGGGCCAGATCAGAGTCGCATACTCCAACTTGCTCCTGACAAAAGTAAAAAATAAGGTCATTAATGTATCAACATTGGAGAAACCCTTCCAGTTTCTGATACAGAAACCAAGTAGTCGAGTGGCAGCCGACGAGATATTGAGTATATGCTCAGTAAACGTTAGCTTGGTATCAAAAATGACTCCAAGGTCTCTATAAGAGGTGCATCTGTTTATAACCTGACCATTGATGTTATGATTATCATAAATTAAATAGTTAACTTTTCTTGTATAAGTCATAACTTTACATTTCGAAACATTCAGACTGAGACAGTTTCATGAACACCATGACGAAATTAGAGCTAAGTCATCTTGCAACATGACGCAATCCTCGACTGTCTTGACTGACGTGCAGATTTTAAGGTCATCAGCGAAAAACAAATGGAAACACTTCAGTTCAAAAGACAAGTCATTAATAAATGAGGAGCAAACATTGTAATCGCACATTGTCCATTTTGGTCTTTTTACAGGAAAGGAGAAAAACTGCTGTAAGCTTATTGCTAACATTTGAAAAACGAGTAACACATGACAAAACGTATTTTATTATCAACAGTTTGCTATAGTAACAAGGCTCAGCAAATATTAATAGCTTACTGAAAAAATGAAAAAAATTAATGTACAAAGTGCTCTTTGAATGTCCGCAATGGACGAAAGCCAGTCCGTTTGTCTATAAATGAAAAATTATTTCAAACTCAAAACTCTAAAGCAAACAGTTCTATTCCAATTATATTACATGTAAGTCGTCTTCCGCCAGGAAGCAACATTTTTCGTCATATTCACCGTGGGCACAGCTCTGCACCTTTCTTCCAATGTTACCGTGTTCCCTGTACAGATCTTTTAAAATTGGGTCAAGCCAGGTTATCTCTGGATCTCTTACCCAATCTTGGCCTGATAAACTTACTAAAAATGTAAACTTTCTTTGAGGGATCATCATTTCTGTATAATAGTTCGGTCTTACACAAGATTTCACCTTCACCACTATTAGATGTTTGTCTTTTTATGATTATTCTTTTGGCCTCGGAAGTTTCTGCAATTTTTTTTAAGTGAACCTTTCCTACCGTTTGAGGTAGCATTCATTTTCCTCCTCCTGGCAACTCGATCAACATCGCTAACCACATGCTCTCCATCACTGATGTTGTTCTAACTTATTCACAGAATATCTTTTGCGCTATCACTACTTAACAGCACTCTCATTTGACAGCCAGGACCGTTGTACTGCAGCATTGACAGACAGACACATCGCAAATTGTCCGTTATATTGCTATTTGATTGTCTCTTGCCATCGGACAAAGTGCGTTTAGCTTGTCTAGGATACTTTTCATGTCAAATATCTACTAAAAATAGTGCGATTCGAGTGTCTTTCAGTTTTGAATCTTGTAGTAAGCAGTGCCATGAATCAAATGCCACCTTTGGGCAAAAATGTTAAAATATGGACAAAGTGCGATTAGAAAGTCTGCTCCTCAAATATTAAGAACAATAATGGACCTAGATTTGACCCTTTAGGTACCCCAGACGTGGCCCGATAGTAACTCGACCTATGACCACTATATTCGACAAATAACCTTCTATCCCTCAAATATGAATTGATGAGCGACAGCATTGCATCAGACATACCCACTGCTTTAAGCTTATCCAGAAGTGCATAATGATCAACTAGATCAAACGCCTTCTGAATATCTGTGTAGATGACACCAACTTGTCCCTGACCGTCTAGTACTTCAGAAATGTACTGAGTAATAAATTAGAGCCAAGTTGGTGACCGTAGATCTGCCTCTCATAAACCCATGCTGATTAATAGAGACTGCACCCCTGACCGAGCAGTAAACCGTTTCATAAGCGATGATCTCAAACAACATATGTCTCTGATTTTAGAATTAGGTTGAATATGGAAGCCAGCGGTTTCGCTAGTATATGAATGCAATCTTTAACGGAAAAACTTGGAATACCATCACATCCAGACGTCATTTTGTTCTTTAATCTTTTCGAAACCCTAATTACGTTTTCTTCACTTATATTTTATGAAGAAATGATATCGGTAGAATTATTTGTTGGAGGAGATGACCCTAGTAGACCAGACGGGATAAAAACTGTTGAAAAGAAGGTAGCAAAACTGTCCACTATATCCTGAGGCGTATCGCAGACATTGCCGTTAAGCGTCATCCTTGGGCGGATTCTAGATTGCTGTTTTTTGATCTGGGCAAATGACCAGAATTTGCTAGGATCATTGACAATGGCATCCTCAAGCGATTGGACGTAAGCGGAGTAGGCAACACTGATCTGGTTCTCAATGAGCTTCCTAAAATTACTGAACTGATCATAAGAAAACTTAGTACCGTCACGTTTCCAGTTCCTTCTTGCTATGTCCTTCTTCTTGATATTAAGTATAATTTCACGTGTGAACCATGGGGGATACGAAAACATTTTATTTTTACATTTAGGGACATGGACCTCAAAGATGTTATTGGTTGTCTCTATCTGTCCTTTCATTGATCCAGCTTGAGTAAATTTAGCAACAAGGTCCCCCGATGTCTGGCGATTTTGGGCACCATAAATTAGAATCATTTTCACTCTTTCGACTAGTGTGTAAACCATTTTGGAAGTGAACAATCTGAATCAATAAATTAATTTAATTAATTTTCAGTCCAAGAATGTCACAAAGGTAACTGACAGCAAATTTAATTCTTTCTTCCCCTTAGCAACAAATAACTAAGATATAACAATAAATGCAGATCGCCCAGAATATCTGTGTTGACGGAAAGGATGCCGAAAATTCGGGTTGTTTTTTAGTTGTTGCCACGTCTAATCTTCGGAATTGCTGTTTATCTTGGTAGTTTTCGTTTTAAATTATAAACAAATTGTAGATTTGTCACACTCTAACGGGCAACATTAAACACTTATTGAAATAAAAAGTGATATTTTCGTATGTTTTTGTTTTTTATCTGAACAAATTAATATAAATAAAGATTTTTCTAATTTCTGAAAAACGAATCGACTGATTTTAAAATACCAAACGCCAAAATAAAGAACTTCGAAACTACTTTCAAACAAGCTATCACTCGATATCCCTTGTCATTTTAAATTTTCAAGGCAATGATCCTGGGGGTCGAGGGTGAAAGAGGGTGAAGTGGTTTTTGGTTATAAAGTCGTCCCCCTTGACAAATCTTTTGACGGATCGCGGCGTTTTTTCTTTTAATCAGTGGTTTTTGATAGATCCGTGGTGGAAAGTTTTCAAATGACAACCCTGTATGTAACTACTCCACTACCTAGGCAGTGACAAACCATTCGAACGTTTGTAGGAGGATACATTTCCAAATCAGATTTCGATTGCGTAAGCAGTGGTAACTCTGGACACATTTCCAGGAATACCTGCTGCTAATATTTCCGATTAAATTTGTTTAATCCTATTTGCGTATCTGCTGCGAGAGCAACTGACGGAATGTAATTCTGTTAACTACTCAGTGGACAGAACGAAAATTGGCGCATACGTAGGTATACAGCGTGGTTTAGATACGACATCACCAACGGTAAGAGATACGAAGTGGCTCAAATAGGGGCAATGTTGCGGATTTAGGTAACCAGCAAAATGCCACTTAGAAAATTGTAAAAGATACGGAAAATATCTAATTTCCCCAAAATGGTTACAACTGTTTCCTGACTTTATTTGATTTCAAATTTCTGTTGTCCTTTGGCACCAAGTTTTTAATTCTGATTTCAAAAATATATAATATGTCTATATACTTATTTACATTGCCAAACCTTAGTTATTCCAAATAATTTCCTACGTAGACCTTGGAATTATAACATACCCATTTGTTTCGTATACGAGAATTATTGCAAAATCATTTTTTATTTTTCCAGACGTTACTTGAGATGGGATTCCAAAGTAAATTACATCATGTCATTGTAACTTATTCTCCTCTTCAAGATGACCTAGTCAAATTTTCAATTCGAGGTTTCTTCTTCCGACTTCCATCACCAACTTTGTTTTTTCATATGGACGCTATATTGGACTTTTGTACTTTTAGATGGAGCTGGCAGTCCCAAATGCAGTAAAACATTTCCTGGCCAGGATTTTGTTATTGGAACGAAAATTGTAAGAAAACCTAGACAGGAAATGAAAATTTTATTGATGTAATATCAATAAAAATCATAAATAAGCAGAGACAAGTTATAGTTGATGTTCAAAATCTTGTCTGTTATGTTGGAAGCAAGGTCTGACTCTTCTCCGTGCAGAGTGGCCATCTAAGAATGCGAGGTACCTATCCATTGTAGAGGGTTGCGGCAGAAACAGTTGTTACTAAACGACAAAGAGAAAAACCTCGTAAAAAAGTTTCTGAAATGGCCGCTAGGGGTCATAACTGCAATCTTAAATCTAAAAAAGTGGTGTTTCTGTAAATTCCGTAATATTAACGTAACAAAAAACACCTGATTTTAAAGTCGAGGATAATGTGAACTTTTTTGTTTTGCAATTTCTGATGTGTGGGGTATTTAAAGGTTTGCATAAAAAACACCCTGTATCTTTGGTACGGCTGAGCCGATTTTAACGAACTTAAGCTAGTTGAGAAGAACTATTCTTGGTCTACAAACGTTATAATATTTGAAGTTTTGTTTCAAAGCCGCTAGAAGGCCTTTTTCGACATTCCGACAAAAATGGTTAATTTTCTAAAAAAATTGAATGCATTGGTATGATTTTTTACAGAAAGGTAGCTAAGCGATGTCTAAACAAGAATGCGAAAACCGCATCTTGATATCTTGTACCTAACCTAAGATTTAGGTCAAATAAAGTTTTATACCGATTATCCTTAATTTTTCATTTTCTATAAACTACTTTATCTGAAATCATTTTTTATTCTTCAGAATAAAATCACTTTTTTTGAAAATATTAAAAAATATGTTATATATATATATAGTGTGAGTCTTCATAAAGTGCACATAGCAAAATCAAGGAAACTACACCTTATTTTATTGACGGAAAAATTATCAAAAAAAAATTAAAATCAATAATTGATTTTTTATGAATATTTTAAAATTTTTAGAGTCAGCTGCTAACCCTATTTAAATAAATCGTTACAACTTTTAAACTGAATGTCCTATCATATTGGAATAAATTTTGTAGTGATTGCAAATAATAGGCCGTACCAGTAAAGTGAAAATTTCCACGAAATTAAATGCTATAAATTTAAAATAAAGAGGAATATGCTGAAACTCACTATTTTTTCAACAATTATATATTTTTAAAACAATTGCTAAATTTCAATAAAAATTGTCCTATTCACCCTACCTTTTTCAAATGTTAAGTTACTCTACATGTTATTAGCTTCCTAATGGTGAAAAATTGCAAGTTTATTACTTAGATACAAGTTTTTAAATCAGCGTTTCAAAAAGCAGTGAACTCAGTTCAACGCCAGAGTAGGAATAAAACAACAGTATTAACCTACCTGAATCATTCATTATCTTTAACAAATAAAATCAAATAGACTTGTCTATAGGATAATCATTTTGGCTTAATGCATCAAATGTTCAAAATGGCCACCCCGTTGCTGCAAACACATTGTAGCGCGAAGTGAAATTTGATGAGTTGCCCTACGAATCATCTCGGGATCATTTTTGATTTCGTTTGCAACACGCAAAACTCTTTCTTCAAGTTCCGCTTCGTTGTTTATGGAACTGCTGTACACCCTTTGTTTCATTGTCCCCCATAAAAAATAGTCGAGAGGTGTGAGATCTGGGGAACGCGCCGGCCACCCAACAGGTCCTTGTCGACCGATCCAGCGGCCTGGATAATTTTTATTAAGAAAAGACCTGACAATCAGCGAGTAATGGGCAGGACATCCATCCATTTGAAGCATCATTCTTCGACGGGTTTGCAGCGGCACTTCTTCCAACAGCAAGGGCAGTTCAGTCCGCAAAAGCTCCAGAAATCTCTCTCCG